CTTAAAGTAAGAAAGTTTACCATATTGACATCCGCAGAAAGAGCATTCCAGCTAGTGACAAGGCCCTAAGGTGGGAGGATGTTTGGCATGGTTAAGGAACAGGGGAGGAAGGGTGGCTGGAGATGAGGTCAGAGATAAGGGGAACAGGGGTAGGAGACACATTAGGTGAGGCCTTGGAGTTCATGAGTACTTTGGCTCTTCCTCTGAATGAGATCCATGAAAGGGTTTTGAGCAGAGGTGTGTCATATCTGACATATTTCAAAAGGTTGTTTTCATATATGCAATTGAATATTTTTCCCAAGGTTTTATAATTTTCAAACGTAAAAGTTGGTATAATACATGTATATTCTGTACTTCATTAACTAGTTATTAACATTTTTCTAATATTCTCTCTGTATATTTTATATATACAGTATATATATATTCCTATGTAACCATAATATAGTTATCATAACCAAGAAATTTAACGTTGCTGTGTATCATGTAATATTCACTCCATGTTCAGATCTTCCCAATTATCCCCCAAATACCCTTTTAACATCATTCAATCCAGGACACTTTTAAAAAATAGTATTTAACTTATATAGAATATGTGAAGGTAAGAAAAAAGTATGCGAGAGTATTTTAAAAAGTCGTTGAAAAATGGGATTAAGAGAAAATACAAACCTTTCCATGAACTTTTTGAAGACCCCTCATAAATCTTGTGCATAGCTCTGTGATTTTTTACATATGAAAGTGCCCAAGTAACTGCCACTCAAAACAAGGCTCACTTAATAATTGTGGGAGTGTAGTAGATTTTTTGTGTAGAAGGGGTAAATAAACTGTCTTACCTTTTTTTTTTTTTTGTCCTTTTTGAGACCGGCCGCACCGCGCTCAGCCAGTGAGCGCTGTGAGCGCACCGGTCATCCCCATATAGGATCCGAACCCGCAGTGGGAGTGCTGCTGCACTCCAGCGCCGCACCCTCCTGAGTGCGCCACTGGCTCGGCCCTAAATAAACTGTCTTAATGGTGGAACACAATTACTTATTTTGTAGTGAGAAATTTAAGTTTATTAGTGTGTTAGAAACAGGGAAAACAGGTAGCCTAAGTATGTTAGGCTCACTTAATAATTATGCTGAGACAACAGATATAATCAGGACATGCTTCGTCGTGGTCAGATTAACATTAAATCTTCTAGGCAAGCATATTACCGGTGGTATTTTGTACTTCCCATTGTTATCAAGGTGGACATAACCAAATTTCAACTTTTATGTCTATAAGCCCCTTCTTGGGCTGACCGGTTAGCTCAGTTGTTTAGAGTGTGGTGTTATGAAACCAAGGATCTAGATCCCCTACTGGCCACCCACCAGGAAAAAACAGAGAGAGAGACAGAGAGAGAGAGAGAGAGAATGTAGTCACATCCACTTTTGATTCCTGTCAGGGAGTTCACAGGCTCTCTTCAGCTGGCCCTCAGACTTCAGCCCCTGCTCTTGGAGTCCTCCATGGTCCTTTAGAGTCAGGGAATTTTGGAGGGCTGGCTCCAGATATCTCACACGTCCATTCCCACNTTTAATAGTATTCTGGGAGCATGGGAGAGTGACAGGGAGTGGGGGGAGAGTGCAGTGGTTAAAACATTACAGGAATTTTTGGCAGGCTTGTGGGGATTAGGGCGAGTCAGGGTGTGCATGTGACTAAGGAGTTTCATCTTGCCAGGGGCGTGTTAGAAACAGGGAAAACAGGTAGCCTAAGTATGTTAGGCTCACTTAATAATTATGCTGAGACAACAGATATAATCAGGACATGCTTCGTCGTGGTCAGATTAACATTAAATCTTCTAGGCAAGCATATTACCGGTGGTATTTTGTACTTCCCATTGTTATCAAGGTGGACATAACCAAATTTCAACTTTTATGTCTATAAGCCCCTTCTTGGGCTGACCGGTTAGCTCAGTTGTTTAGAGTGTGGTGTTATGAAACCAAGGATCTAGATCCCCTACTGGCCACCCACCAGGAAAAAACAGAGAGAGAGACAGAGAGAGAGAGAGAGAGAATGTAGTCACATCCACTTTTGATTCCTGTCAGGGAGTTCACAGGCTCTCTTCAGCTGGCCCTCAGACTTCAGCCCCTGCTCTTGGAGTCCTCCATGGTCCTTTAGAGTCAGGGAATTTTGGAGGGCTGGCTCCAGATATCTCACACGTCCATTCCCACTGCACCTCACACCTGCTTCATACCACATGCACTTGCGAGCACGGGCTCATCTGCATGGCTGTTACTTTAATATCCGGATGGAAAATCAAAGTGCACATCTCCTCCTCTCTTGGCTCCCCACTAACAGCAGGATCACACTATGTCACTCTTCTGCTATGGAATTCATCTGAGGCACACGGAGTACACAGCACCAACTGTCTCTCTTTCTTTTAATAGTATTCTGGGAGCATGGGAGAGTGACAGGGAGTGGGGGGAGAGTGCAGTGGTTAGAACATTACAGGAATTTTTGGCAGGCTTGTGGGGATTAGGGCGAGTCAGGGTGTGCATGTGACTAAGGAGTTTCATCTTGCCAGGGGTAGGAAGGAGGAGTAAATAAACCATCTTAGTGGTGAGATACAATTATTTATTTTGTATAAAGAGAAATTAAAGTTTATTTAAGGGTTGGAAACAGGGAGCTATCTATAAGCAGGATCAAAAGCAAAGTAGGGCTGGCTGGTTAGCTTGGTTGGTTAGAGTGCGGTTATGTAACACCAAGGTCAAGGGTTCAGATCCCTGTACTGGCCAGCTGTCAAAAATAATAATAATAAAAAAATACAAAATTAGAAAAGCAAAGTAAAATTCCCAAATTAATAAAGGAAGATAGGAAGGAAATAGAATACAAACTTGACAAATCCAATAAAAAAAGAGAAAAAGTTAAAAGGTAACAAAATTAGAAATAGTAATACATGGGCCAGCCCATGGCTCACTCGGGAGAGTGCGGTGCCGATAACACCAAGGCCACAGGTTCGGATCCCTATATAGGGATGGCCAGTTAGCTCACTGGGTGAGCGTGGTGCTGACAACACCAAGTCAAGGGTTAAGACCCCCTTACTGGTCATCTTTTTAAAAAATAAAAATAAAAAAATAATAATAAAAAATAAAAATAGTAATACACATACAATAAGGGATAAAATGTATTGTTAATTACTGTGGCACTACAGCAAATGTCAGAATCCTGTCGACATAGCCAACTGTAGCTCTCTTAATCCTGTTCACTGTGCCAATTGTAAAGCTCTGGCTCTGTCGGAATCCTGTTAGTGACGCCAGTAGTCTAGCTACAGGGCCACGCTAGTTGTCAGGCTCTTTTACCTGCAGGTAATCCTGCCAACTGGGCCGACTGTAAAGCTAGGGCTGGATCTGGAGCTCACAGACCCTTCAAGCCCATTCCACACTGGGTCACAGACCCTTCAAATGCCAGGCTGGGTCACCACACCCCACACACGCAAGTCTATAAGCTAGGCAACCAGCAAACAGGTCCTTGGAAGCCGCACATAGGAAAGCATGGCTGTGCCGGCGGACACCCGAGGCAGATGCCTGCCCACCTGCTTCACTAAAACTCTCTGAAGAACACAAGAATGGCAACAAAACTAAAAAGATACATTGGTGCACATGCACACTAACTCCCCCCCCCCACAATTTGCTTATAAACGATGTGCTGAACCACACCCAACTGAACCCGAGGCGAGGGTCCTGACCAAACCGTTTTATTTTCCCAACAATTACAATGAAAAATTCTGACCAACAATAAGCAATGGGGGGAGGAGCAACACTGTGGACCACGGAAACATCCTGCTTCTCAACAAACTCTCTCCTCTTGCTTTAACATTTACTGAGGATTCTTGCCTAAACTTACAAGTCTATATATCACGATTACTACAAATTTTCCAACTCCACCACTCCTTCTAGTGCATTACTTTCTATATGTTCATTGGAAGGGTTAAAAAAAACAAAAAAATCCCTGCAATTCCTTCTTGCCATCCTTCCTGCACACTCCCAATCTCCAGACAACTTCTGATCTGCTGTCACTATATATTAGGTTGCATTTTCTAAACTTTGTATAAATGGAAATATACAGTATGTATGCTTTTGGGGGTAAAGGCAGGGTCTGGCTCTTCTACTTCAGCATTTTTATTCTGATGCTCATTCACATTGTTATATATACCAGTAGCCTATCGGTGTTCACCGCTGAGTAGTATCTCCTTATACGTTATACATTGTGTACCCATTTACTTCGTGTAAATTTGAATTGTTTTCAGTTTGGGGCTATTACAAATAAAAAGCTGCTATGAACATTCATGTACCAAAAAAAAAAAAAAATCCCGTATTCACAATATAATAATAAAACAATGTTGGAAACCACCGTTAAAAGCATAAGACAAGTAAAAAACAAGAGACCTTTTCCAAATCTCACAGGATATAATTTAGGAAGTACATAAAAAAAAAGATTCAAACTCATCAGTTAGATACATTAAATTTGTGAAGCTTTTTGTATGACAATCATACCTCAGTAAAGTTGTTTTAAAAATAAATGAATCATGCAAAAGAAAATCATCCTTTTTGGCTTAATCCTATTTTGAGTTAAGAACATTAACAATAATTTGCATGCAATGAATGTGCTTTTCTAAATACAATAGATTAGTTATTTTATATACACATTTTAAATTGGATATACATTACATATTTATGATTGGGAAGCAACCTTGAACATTTTTAAGCAACAGAAGTACACAAAAGTTATAAGTGGACATAACATTGACGAACACCCTGTGTTTTTATCCCAGAGTAAAACCGTAGAGGTCTCAGGTTACGAAAACGGAAAATGTTTTGTATATTAAGAATCATGTTTTAGGGAGTAGGGGAAAAGTAGCAGTATCCCTTTGCCTTAAAATACATTTTACAGAATTTATGATTGGAATGGAACATCTCCTAAAGTAGAATTCTGAGGAAGAAAATCCAGCACAGAAGCAAACTACTGTTTCCTCAGCTTCACAATACTCAGCTGGAGTTCTTAAATGAGCTGCTGAGGGGCTGGCTGGTTAGCTCAGTTGGTTAGAGTGTGGTGTTATTAGCCCAAGGTCAAGGGTTCAGATCCCCATGCCAGCCACCAAAAAAAAAAAAAAAAAGACAAAAACACCCCACAAAAACAGCTGTTGAAGTCATTTCTGTCCCATAAAGGTAGACATTTAGCAGTATGAACAACTTTATTAACTGGAATGAATGATAATTTGTAAAGTGTTTTTCCATTTTTAAACACAGGAGTCTGTGTACCACAGTCCATGAAGCAGCAGGCACTGCTGGGGGTCTGAGGGTAACGTCTGCAGCTCAGTCTGCACGGCCTGTAAGCAGGAAGCACGCAGGATGTGGAGAGGACCAGAGTTCAGCCGCCAGTGGCACTGTGGAGTCGAGCCTTTACACCGTTAATTACAAACACAGATGTGCCCTTTCTCCTGGTATTCTATTCTCATTGGAGGCTTTTTATTAAGACCTTGTTCCTATAAAGCAAATAAAATGTGTGCTTTTAAAAATACTGAAACAAAAAAGAAATCTCAAGTTTCATCCTTGAATATAGCCAAGAAACCTACAACTGGAATGCCAATGCAATTGCCCTTAAAACTTAAGGACTGTGGAAAGGAAGCTTGTGACCATGTCATCAAGGAATGAGGATCACCCAAGTTATCATGCTTCTGTAATATATTCCTGTCCTGTTCAGGCCATGGCCAGAAGAGGTGCCAGAGTGGATCTTTTTATCATTTGCCCAGAGACCCAAGTATGTCATTAAAGGGTTATCCAAAGTGACCTCAGCCCTATTAGACTTGCTTGGCATAGAGAGACTGTCAAAAGAGAATTGCAGCAAGATGCAGAACAGCCAAAAGGGGGTAAAAAAACCAAGTACACATTCACACACTTCCTCCTACAGGAGATGGTAACTGTGCCAGGACCCAGGGGCTGCCTCTACCTCGAGGGGCTGGTGAAGAAGTCTACACTGAGGGGCATACCCACTTCCAGTTTCTATCCTCTGCCAGCTGTCCTAGACCTCTGGTGTTCAGTAAGCCTGAGAACAAAGGTGGGCTGACAGAGCTTGGGCTGCAGCCTAGGGTGGTTCTGGGACAACTGAGGAAGGGTGGGAGATGGACCCCTGAGAGCCAAGCCTGAGATGCACCAAGTCTCCTTCTTCAGAGGGATTCTTTTTCTCATCTTCCCTCTTCATAGGTTCCTCTTCATAGGTTCCTATTGAAGTTAGTAACCCCAGAAGCATGCGTGGTTACCTCAAAAAGTTCATGGAGGGCTGGCCCGGTGGCGCACTGCTATAGTGCGCCGCTTGGGAAGCGCGGCGGCGCTCCCACCTCGTATAACCGAGGGTTCGGATCCCGCATACAGACCAGTTCCCGCTCACTGGCTGAGCGAGGCGCGGGAGCAACACCGAGGGTTGCGATCCCGTTGCTGGTCCTGGTCCGGTACGGGGGCGACACTGAGGGTTGCGATCCGTTGCCGGATGCGGAAAAAGACAAAAAGGGATCCCGTTGCTGGTCCCGGTCCGGTACGGGGGCGACACTGAGGGTTGCGATCCGTTGCCGGATGCGGAAAAAGACAAAAAGGGACAAAAAAAAAAAAAGAGAAAAAAAAAAAAAAAAAGTTCATGGAAAGACTCGTATTCTCTTTTAATTCTATTTTTCCACGAACTTTCTGAAGTATCCTTATACATAAGCTTACCCTCTGTAATACAAAGTACCTCCAACTGTAGTCTCTATTTCTTTCTTCCTCTTATTCAACCAACATCAAATTATCTGCATCCTTCATGGCTTTGAATCTCCTATATTATCCAGGCAAGTATATTACTTGTACCTTCTTTGACTTTATTTGATGTTACTTAAGGCAACTTCCCCATGCAAATTCTCCCACTGACTTCATATTCCAGCCTTTCTCCTTAACTTTTTCCTTTCTGTCTCCTTTAGCTTGCCCCTACAAGATTGCTATTCTTTAAATTTAAATTTCTGGATCTGGCTGGTTAGCTCAGTTGGTTAGAATGTGGCGCTGATAACACCAAGGTCCAGGATTCAATCCCTGTACCAGCCAGCTGCCAAAACAAAACAAAACAAAAATTTAAAGTTCTGTCCTCATCACCAATACAAATCTTATTATCCTTACTAGTATTTAAATAACCACCAAATAATTATCTAGAAGCCAGATTTCTCTTCTAGCATCTACAAAAGGTGCCAGGCGCTTTAAACACATGAAAATCTGGGTTCTCCCACAAGATTTTTCTAATTGATTTTGTACCCTTCACCCCCTTTATCTGCAGTAGATACCTCAATCCATTTATGTACTTAAAATCCTTTGATGGCCCATCCACCAGGGATAAAGAGCTGCCTGACTTCAAACTCCTGGTTTCGCCCCATCCACTCCTGGAAAAGGTTTCAAAATTTTACATATGTCCACTTTTTTTTAAAACCGCATATAAGTTTGCTCAATGGGTTCTTTATAAAACTAAATACAATGGCCTTTTGAAATAAAATAAAACCTCCCTTACAGGGAGATAAAATTCCTGGTAACTTCTTAATTTTAAACCTGTTTGACCTTTGCACACCTTCTGGTCCAACTTGCTCCTTATATTAGAGATGTGGAAACTGAGGTCCAGAAAAGTTGTGTCATGTGTAAAGTTATTAAAACGGTCACTGGTAGAAACAGGACTGAGATCCAGGACTGCTCATCCTTGGTCCAATGTGGTGTCTTCAAAACAGTATTCCTCCCAACCTCTCCCCAGATTTATCAGTTTTAGTGGCATACTTTATTTTTTTGGCGGCTGTCCATTATAGGGATCCAAATACTTGACCTTGGTGTTATAAGGCTGTGCTCTAGGTGGCATATTTTAATAAAAATATTTCCCATCCTTATTTAAAAACAGAAATCATCATTATTTAGCTAGTATAGTTCATACAGAGAACGGCAAATTTATCAGGCCCCTTTTCCCAGGTCATTAGTCAAGTCATTTTCTTTAATATGTTGATTTCAATGTGGTTGGAACTTAAGTTATAGAGAAAAACCTTTTGTAGCCCTCCCTTTGTTCTCTTCATAATTGTGCTTCTAAAGTTGATCGTTTAATGATTACAAAGGTACTGCATTGATCACATCATAAAACTAATAAAACATTTCAAAAGAACATCACTGACTACTGGATAAACTTTAAACTTCCAACATTCAAAGTTTACTCCAATTTGATGCCAAATTAGTATCACTTAAAATCTCTAATACTCATTTTGAGTCAACATTTTTTGCATACATTGTATATTTCCATCTTCATGGCATTGCTCAAACTAATCCTGCTTGCTGGATGACCCCGATCTTGGAATAATTGCTATGTGCCAAACACAGCACTAAGAATTTTACATACATTAACAAATTTAATCTTCACAACATGTCAGATAGGTATTATTTTGCCCATTTTATAAATGAGAAAACTGAGGCTTATCTTCCCCCCTATACCACCTCATTATAGTCACACTGAACTACATGCAACTTCTACTCTGTCTTAAATTCAGATTTGGTGCTGTTTCCCATGCTGAAAAATGACCTTATTCCTTCTTTCCATCTAGTCCATTCTTCCCTTAACTTCGAAAACCGTCTTCTTTGATATTTGTCATCATAAGGTATTCTAGCTGTTTATTTGCCAGACATCCTCTTTAGACTGTAGGCAACTTAACGGTTTTTTTTTTTTTTTGCTAGTCATTATTTCTGTGTAGTGCATATACCTAGAATACAGTAATTACATAATTTTGTTTTTTGGTGGCTGGCCGGTACAGGGATCTGACCCCTTGACCTTGGTGTTATAACACTGTGCTCTAACCAACCGAGCTAGCCAGCCAGCTGTAATTACATAATGTACATAATGTTTGTTGCTCCAGAATTGTTTCTCCAGGTAAAAACATTAAGCTCTGACACAAAAATGCTTTTTCCTGGGTATAAACTTACCTGAGTCATAATTTTCTTGAAACTCTTTATGACAACTTGCTCTTCAAATATATGGTTAATTAAGGTTAATGTGTATCTTCCCCCTCCCCCTACTGAAACCCAGGTTTTAGTCTGTAAAACAGCACCAGGTAATTACCTGTGAACACACGTGGGGCACAACATATTGTCCTCCATGTGTGGGGGTGGAAAGTTGCAGGCAGGAAGCAAGAAGAGTGCACTCACTCTCCCTGTTTTCTTTTCAGGAACCCAGACTTGTCCAGCATGAAACTGCAGGCGAACCCAACCATTTGTGCTTGCAGGGAGACTTCTCCCATGGACCACGCACCACCTGACACCTAGGCAAGGTGAGAGAGGTAAGTGAACACAACAGGACACATGCTCACGTTCCAGACTGCACCAAGGCTTCTCACCCTGAATTCTACCATCTTTCTCAAGTGCCAGTTCCAAGATATGAACCCTGAAATCCTAACTTAACCTCTACTCTATCCTGTTTCCCTTTAGAAAAGAATGCAAAAAAGTTCCTGTTAAAACTTAAAAATCTAGTTGGAAGAGGGACAGCTGCAAATGACAGGTGGTAGAAAAAATAACCCAGAGTGGCTGGGAAGGCCTTCACAAAACAGGCTCAGGGGTCTCAACTCTTTAAGTCACTGCAATGCACTACGCAGTATATGGTCCTCTTTTGTTTTATTTCCTGTTATTCTTAGCAACATCTGACGTAGGTACTATTTATTATTAACCCATTTTGTGATGAGGAAACTTGGGACTACTTTAAACGACTCATTAATGTCACACACTTAACAGATGCCAAGAAGATCCAGGGCTCAAACCCAGGAAGTTGCTTTTAGACACTGCCTTTACTTTAAATTCCTTTTTAAAGAAGGAGAAAGAACTAAAGCTCAACAGAATGGTATCATCCTCTGACGTCATCAATAATTGAAGACATTGGTTCTCAAAGTGTTGTCCCGGATCAGCGTCCCCTCAGGACTGCCTGGGAAGATGATAGAAATGCAAACCCTCAGGCCCTACCCCAGACCTGAATCAGAAACTCTGTGGCTGGGGTGCAGGAATCACCAACCCTTGAGGTGTCTTTGATATATCTTAAAATTTATCAGAAGTTAGTATCACTTAAGCTTATTTCCTCATTGGACCAGAACACGCTCTTACGATTAGCCTTACCTTCAGTCTCTGGTGGCGTTTCCACGACCTCTGATTCCACTGCGTCCATCTTGCCGGCCCTGGCTGCTACTCTGGCCCAGGAGGCCAACACAGCCTCCGGGGCAGTAGTTGTCACCACAACTGGATTAATTCCCTCAAGGAGAGCAGCAGACTCTCCTAGGGTAGACAGTCCCTCCCCAGGTGGAGGAGCCATTTCAGGGGGATCAGTCTCCTCAGAATAGGTCCTTTTCTCAGAACTTTCCAGGAACATTTCCCCCATATTCCTCTTTGATTTTCCTTGCATCCTGGCTTCTTTTGCTGTGGTAGGAATATTCTACAAATAAGGTGAAATAATAAACGTCATAATACTAAAGATTAAAGTACTATCAGAAGTGTGGCCTGGGGGCTGGGGAGATGTTGGTTGAAGAATACAAAGTTTCAAATAGCTGGGAGGAGTAAGTTCAAGAGACTTCTTACCCAACATACATGGTGACTGTAATGAATAACAATGTACTGTATTCTTTTTTTTTTTTTTTAAAAGATGACCGGTAAGGGGATCTCAACCCTTGGCTTGGTGTTGTCAGCACCACGCTCAGCCAGTGAGCAAACCGGCCATCCCTATATGGGATCCGAACCCGTGGCCTTGGTGTTATCAGCACCACACTCTACCGAGTGAACCACGGGCTGGCCCAACAATGTACTGTATTCTTGAAAAATGCTAAGAGAGTAGATTTTAAGTGTTCTTACCACACACAAAAAAAAGAGTATGTGAAGTAATGCACGTTAATTAGCGTGATTTAGTCATTCTGCAATGTATACATATTTCTGAACAATATGTTGTGCACAATAAATGTATACAATTTTTATCTGTCAATTAAATTTTTTTTTTTAGGGCTGGCCTGTTAGCTCAGTTGGTTAGAGCATGGTGTTATAACATCCAAGATCAGGGGTTCAGATCCCTGTACCAGCCAGCTGCCCCCCCTCAAAAAAAAAAAATTTTTTTTCTTTAAAAAAAGAACTCTTTGCCTGAGTTGGTGAAAAGTGGGGTCAGGGGTAGGGCTGGCCTGTTAGCTCAGTTGGTTAGAGCATGGTGTTATAACATCCAAGATCAGGGGTCCAGATCCCTGTACCAGCCAGCTGCCCCCCCTCAAAAAAAAAATTTTTTTTTCTTTAAAAAAAGAACTCTTTGCCTGAGTTGGTGAAAAGTGGGGTCAGGGGAATATTATTATTAGAACTAGGGTGGAAGGAAAAGGAGGGGCTAAGAAAGTCCCTGTACTCATTTTTTTATGCTAAAATAGGTAATTAGGACAAAAACTGAAACTTCCACTCTTCTAATTTATATAAAAAGTAAAAAATTACTCACCTTCTGGTTTGGGTAAGCATATTCACAGAGTCGCTTATATACCTCTAATTTCTAAGACAAGAGAATAACGGGTTATTAATGAAAGCAGGATTCCTACCCTCCCTTCTAGCAGCATGGTATCCCACCCTGCGCCCTCACCTGGCCTTTGGTGCTTAGTTTTAACTGTCCGCACCAGGCCCGCACAACATCTCTGTGAAGCAGGTTGATTGGAGGCAGTTGAGAGGGTAAGGGAGGAATTGGTATCTTCTTCCGAGGCTTTAGGTTTTCATTGCATTGTGCCTTTTCCTTTAGACAGGAAGCTGAAGGGAATAGAATAAAATTAGTAATAATTAATTTGTGTGTAACTTTTCAGAATTTCAAAACTACTGTCACTTTTGCCCTCATACTCCATCCCGCATTGTACAGTTAAAGGACTTGCCAAAGACCACATAGCTTCCAAGGGACAGACCGCAAACCTAGGACTTAATACTTTTAAATACCAGTTTTACTTCCTGAAATGCCCTATCACACACATGCACTCGCTCCATTGTGAGACCACCCACCCACAGAATCCAGGTGGTTGCACTAGAGATTGTATTTCCATCCCAGAGGAATGACTGAAGTCTTAGACTTGAGATTGTAAATACTCAGCATTGCCTAGTCCTCTCACCACAGAACAAAATGCACACCTGACAGTGCTACACACACAACCACTGACATCTGTAATTCTTCCAGCCCACCCCAGTCAGGGCAGTGCTCCGACCTCATTGCACATAACTCTCCCCAGCTCTACTGTGTTTCTGTTCATCCTGGTGCTGTTGCTGTGCTGCACACACAGTGTCACAACTCATGACTTACAGAACACACTTCCAAAACCTCATTATAGTCACACTGAACTACATGCAACACAGACAGTAATGACACTATGAGTCACTACGGTTTACTGAGTACATACATATTACTTGTCAAGTGTAATGCAGGTGTTTTACCTAACTATACTATGTTAATTAGAGCCAAACCTGCTCCCCACTTCCACTCCCCACCCAACCCATCAGGGTAGATGCTATCCTCACTTAATTTTCAGGAAGTGGAGTTTCAAGGATGGGGTTTCAAACATACAGTTGTCTGTCCCCAAATCATTTTGCACTGAGATCCTTAACTCCAAGCAGCAGGTGCAGGCAAAATGATGATCAGAACCAAATACGGTGTAGGAGTTTGACACAAAGGGATCAGTTATAGCAGAGCTGACCAAAAGGCTTGAGGGAAGTGCGATTTAAACTAGGCTTCAAGGAAGCGTAGGATTCGCACAATACAGAATGGAAATTTCTTCCCTACTTTATCTACTCCTTCAGAAAGAAATACTCCTCAGGCTTCTCAGACCTGAGGAAGTGGGATGTGAGATTTATAGACCTCTCACCGTTGTCACCGTTCACAGATTTCTTTTGTTTGGTCTCCTTTGCTGAGGTTCTTGGTAAAGCAGATGTGCCTGGTTGACTCGAGGTCCAATGTTCCTCTTCAGTTTCTACTGACACCCGTTTGGATTTGGGATTCCCGTATTCTTCCCACGACTTCTCTGTTGAATTCCACTGGGAATGGAAAAGCTAGTCAGCATTCCTCTCGTTTCTGAATCACCACATACACTACCTGCCTTAAGATAACTCTAGGTGTCTAAGGCATCTAGAAAGTCAGCACACTTAGCTGGTGGTGTGTATTCTCCTCTGGGTATGATCTTAACACCCAGTTCTATGTATAAGACAGGGAAGCCATTATGGAGAAATGGGAGGAAGCCAATTTGAAAGTACAAAAAAAGTCAAAGTATAGATACAGACAAAAAGAAAACAGGCTCTACCTTGTGAGAAGCCGTTATGTCACCCACTGTATCTGCTGTCTCTCACCTAGAAAACTATTTTCCATTCCTTCATTCCTAACCCCTTTTAAATAAATTATTTTTCCATACTGTTGCCAGACGGATGCTACTCAAACTTTACATCCCTTCAGTGGTTTATCGCTCTTGCCATGAAGATAAATGTCTGAAATATGCCTACCAGCCTCTTATATCCAATTGCAGCCTCTACTCACACCCCTCTCCAAGGTTCAAGCTCAATCCCTTTCCTTTCTTTTTGGCGGCTGGCCAATACAGGGATCCAAACCCTTGACCTTGGTATTATCAGCACTGAGCTCCCCCAAGTGAGCAACTAGCTAGCCCCAAGTTCAATTCCTTTCCTTTCCAAGTTGTTCCTAGGGCCAGAAGTGACATTCCTCAGCCCCCAGCCCCACCTAATTACATTCTTTGTGTGTGTGGGGGGGGAGGGTGGCTGGCCAGTATGGGGATCCAAACCTTTGACCTTCATGTTACAACAAGACACTCTGACCAACTGAGTAATTGGCCAGCCCCTTCTATTTACATTCTTAAATCTGACTTTCTTGCTTTCTTGCCGGGTCTCACTAGGGTTATTTCAATTGAGAACACTCTCAAGTCCTTCCAGACCAAGTCAAATTAACTACATATTACCTTATCCCCAGTATTTATCTATTGCAATTCTTCACTTGCTTGTGTTACATGACCAACACTTGTTACTCCACTTAATTGTAAGCTCCACAAGGGTAGAATTCCTTTTCTTTCATTGTAGACACTTAATAAATATTGGTGAATACAATTAAAAGAAATGAAGGGGCAATGGAGATAAAGTTGTTTAATACAGAGAAACTGACATGTCTTGAGCCTCCATCTTTTACCAGGTATTGGGTTTTGACATGCTCCTTATTTTTATTCACTTAATCTTCATAATTTATTACTTTATTTTTCAGATGCATAAGCTGAGGCTCAGAGGTTACATAACTAAGGGCAGACAGGTTAAGAGCATGTTGGACATAAATTAAATCTTAGGTCAATTTGCTCCCAAACCTAAATCCTTTTCTATTACTCCCAAGGAGGGAGTACTGGCCAAATCAACATTTGTATGGCATTTTTAACATCTCTATAGCAGTTTTACATTTGTATTCAAAATTTACATTTGCATAACTCTTACACACTTTGGGGGCTCACAAAAGTCTTAAAATTGAGAGGGCTATACCGGTCAGCCGACAAAAAAGAAAAAAAACAAGAATAAAAAAAAAATAGGAATTTAAAAAAAAAAAAAAATCAAGAGGGTGGAAAAACGACCCGGTTCTAGGAAAGAGGCCTTGAAAGCACTCGGGTTCCCCGGCCTGGCACTTGGGTACTTCTGGCCCCAGTCTCCAACGCTGTCCTTCAGCTCCTGTCTTCACTGCCTGTCAGTGTATGGCTTCTGCTCATCCCCTGGTCCCAAGGACTCTGGGAAAAGGAGACCAGCTCAGAGCCCGCACCTCTGGGATAGGACCCGCTCTGACTAAGGGAAACGAAGGATTTCTTTCTTTCCCAACTTCAGCTCAATTACTCTTCGTGAAATCTTTCCCTCACCTTCCCTTTTCTCGTTACCATTTCCTTACAGCCCCAATACTCGATTCTTCTGACAGGATAAAGCCTCTCTTCAAAGAAATCAAAGCAGGAAACCCCATTTCTCATGCTTCTCCAACACACCCCGACTGCAACCACGTCTAAAGCGTTACGTTTTTTTCCTTTCTCTAACGAGAGGAACTGGCCTGTTTGCTCAGTTGGTTAGAGCGTGGTGCTCTAATGTCCAGGGTCCAATCCCTGTACCAGCTAGCTGCTAAAAAAAAAACAAAACCCCAAAACAAAAGAGGACATTATAAGATACATAATTTTCTCTTAAAAAAAAAAAGAAAAGAAAAAAGATTAAAAGTGCTCAAGGAGAGAAACAGGAGACCCACAAAGACAAACAAAGCAAACCCACTAAAATTGTATTTACCTCTTTGCCTCTTGCATTCTCCATACTCAGAAAAGAAGTTGAGGTTGACTGAAAAAAAAAAAAAAAAAAAAATTCTTCTTACTGCAAAATGGCCCCAGGCCCCAGATTCCTCTTTGAAAAGTCTCCACCCACTTCAGGCTACTCATAGGCGCTTTTTTCTCCTCCCCCTCTTATCTCCTCCCCTTCTGTTCCCTCCCCCACAATTTGTGAACGCTAAAATTGCTTTTTTATTTTTTGAGGTTGAAAATAAAAGCAACTTTATTAGGAAGACTAAGAAAATTGTATGTTAACTTGAACAGCTGGGCTGTACAAGAAAAGACTTGAAAATTCCCTTTCCGATGACCTCCAAGAGACTTGGATTCCACTTACATGCACCCTGTCCTTTCCTCAGACCTCTAACTTCTGCCTGGAATTGAGCACAGACATGGCCTACATTTTCCCTCAAATGAATGCTAAAATTGTATACTTTCTTACTTATGAGTTGATTATTGGATGATTGAATTGTCATTACTAATCCTGGCTGGCCAGGTAGCTCAGTTATTCTAACACCAAAGCCACAGGTTTTGGATCCCCTTACTGGCCAGCCACTAAAAAAGAAAGAAAGAAATAAAATAAAATACTATTCCTGGCCCTTTTCTGTGAATTTTAACATAATTATCCAAGGTGCAGCTCGGGAGACAACTAGGAAGTTGAAAACTCCTTCAGAATAACTATACAGAAAAAAAAAAATGTTGCTAGAGACTACTGAACAGGATGTGTGAGGAGTTTTAATAATGGAACTTGTGGAAACAATAGATTTCAGGGGCCAAACTGGCAGACTGAAGAAAGCGAAACTGTTTTCTTGTACCACGTTAAATTCCATTTCTTAACCAAGTTACTCAACCAATTAAAACTCCAGCTTTTAATCTGTGCTGATAATAACTAGCACTATCTGCCAACAACTAATAGCAATAATCTTTAGTCTATTGAGTATTTGTTATGTACCAAATTCTAGGTTTAAAATTCACAGTCATTATTGTTCTGCATTTTATAGATGACAAAAATTTGTATAAAATCGTGTTAGTGAGTTTCCCAATAGCACAGTAAGTGGGCCCCTAACCTACTGATTCCCACAGAAGTTCAAGATCCTCCTTAAAAATAGTTTGATTTCTCTTGCTCTCTGTGCTCTCTCTGCTTCCACCATGTTGCAATGTGAGACCCCTGGGTCGCTGTCGCCACCACCAGATGGACTTTGGACTTGCCAGCCTCAGAAACTGTAAGAAATAAATGTCATTTTCTTATTAAAAAAAAAAAAGTTTGAAAAGAATTCCTCCTCATATCATTCCTCCTTGTCAAGCTGTCAGCGATCAGAGATATGAAGTGAAGAAATTTCTTATGTTAAGAAGCAATGATTGTGGGATTCTCAAAGCTGCTTTTGTCAGGTTACAATATCTGCTTTGTTTTGTTTTGTTTTCTACATCTTATTGTTTGTCCTGAAATGATGAATAAGAGATGATCCTTACCCAGAGTGGTGGTGATATGTGCTCACAGCTAGAAATACGAGGACAGAGGAAGAAAATAAATGGGACCCAGGAGTAGAGAAGGAAATGCAGGCTCTGGATTGGGCAAGCCCCAAGGCACCAAAGAGGAAGCCAGGTACTGATGTCTGGACTTAAAATAGTTTGACTTAATGATTTTTCAACTTCACCACGGTGCAAAAGCAATATTCATTCAGTAGAAACCATACTTCCAGTACCCATATAACCATTGATTTTCACTTCTAGTACAATATTCAGTAAATTACATGAAATATTCAACACTTCATTATAAAATAAAATTTATGTTAGATGATTTTGCCCAACTGTAGGCTAATGTAAGTGTTCTGAGTACACTTAAGGTAGGCTAGGCTAACCTATGATGTTTGGTAGGTTAGGTATTAAGTGCACTTTTGAGGGGAGGGTTGTAAGTAAGGGAAATCTGACCACTTGACTTACCAGCACCACACTCTCCCAAATGACCTAACTGGCAAGCCCCCAATACATTTTTGACTTACAATATTTTCAGCTTACCATGAATTTATCGAAACAGAACCCCATGGTAAATTGAGGAGAATCTTTATTTAGAATTGAGATCATCTGTGAGATTGTGTGATATCAGTACTTTACCCTGGCCGTTAGATAATAACCAGAAGAGACTTACTAGTTAAGGTTTATATGTAAAGTGCATGATTAAATTATCTTTCTTTCCTCAGTGTAATTGGAGGTAAAATTGCTAAGTTCTGAATTAAGTACAAACTGAGGTATTGAGATATCTAATCCTGGGGAAGGTACAAACTTTAATTTGTGTATAAATAGATGGAGTATATTTTGGAATCATGATTTATGAATTCGTAAGCCCACTACCATTTTGAGGAACACAATTTTTTTATTCTTTTTTTTTTTTTTGGCAGCTGGCCAGTATGTGGATCTGAACCCTTGACCTTGATGTTATAACAAGGCACTCTGATCAACTGAACTAACCGTCCAGCCCTGGAGAACACAATTCTAAAAAATTTGTACCAACCATTAAAAAGAATGGGTTAGCTGACACCTTATATATAAAATGGATTAGTACAATTTAATTTAAAATGTTTGAGCATAATTTAAAATAATATCACTGAGTTCTTGAATTAAGCAAAATGCCAAATATCTTTTTGTCGAACTTGTTGAAGTTGTAGTAATTTATAAGCAATATTGGCCAAAGTAGAATGTATTTGTGCTTTGATTTCTGTAATATAAAATAAGACTAAAAAATAAATAAATAAAATAGGACTAACTGTAAGTTTATTGTGTTTTTTAAGAAATAACTAATGTAATTTTACATGTAGGTTTTTTTTTTCTTTTTTTTTTTGACAGCTTGCTGGTACAGGGATCTGAACCTTTGATCAATGTGAACAATTTCTTGCAAATATTTAGTTGTCAAAGAAAAACTGTTTATTGCCTTTTTTTATGTTATCTTTACAGTGCCTGACAAGTTATATCTATCCTGAGTTCTAAAAATATTCATAGTTCAGATCCTCTTACTGGCCAGCCGCCAAAAAAAATAAATAAATTCATAATTGAATCTCCCATTTGTTTATTGAATAAAAATGTATTGAGCATTATTGTATACTCAGCATTGGAGACACAGTGGTGGACAAAAGCTGACAAAGAACCCGTCCTTGTGGACTTGTAGTCTGGTAGGAAAAACAGACAGCAAATAATATCTGTGACTAATAATATAAGCCAATGCTCTTACACACACTTTAAAAAATGTATTATATTTATTTACATGTATAATCAAAACAAATGCAAACTATTCAATTATGACACTTGAAAAGTAGGAAAATTCTTTACGTAAATGACAGCCTGCCATAGGGGCATCAGATGTGAAGGAGAGGCGAACTGAATAAGGGAAGGGAGGGACGACCTGCACGAAGGTGCAGCACTGGAGAGGAGCCCAGCACGATTCAGGGACTAAAAGGAGGGCTGTGTGCTGGGGCTCAGAGAGGAAGGAAAGTGTGAGTGGAGAGCTGGCTGGTTAGCTCAGTTGGTTATGGCTCAGTGTTGATAACACCAAGGTCAAGGCTTCAGATCCCCTTACTGGCCAGCTGCCAAAAAAACACAAAGTGTGAGCTGAGTTTGAATAGGTAGGCCTGTTGAGCTATTGAAAAATTCTTGGTGGGCTGAGACTGATACTAACTGATATCTTGTAAAGATCTCTCAACTGCAATGAGGAGAAAGAAATGGAGATGGAACAGAGGCGACACAGCAAAGTGAGTTAGGAGGTTACTGCAGCAGTTGTAGGCCTGAGATGCTGACGACTGGACAGGTAGTGTAGACTGCCGTTAAGACCACAGACTCCAAAGCCAGATTGGATTTAAACCCCATTCACATCCTCGCTAGCTGTATGACCTGAGCAAGCTATCCAACATCTTTAGGCCTCTCCCTTTCCTCATCTGTAAAATGGGGATAGTGAAAATAATAGCCCTTTCTTAGAGGGCTGGGTTGTAGGCCTGTCCCAAGAAAACAGTGTACTGGACAGTGTCTGGCAGTGTTAGGTGTTTCTATTAGAGTGTTGAAGAGGAATACAGATTTGAGAGATGTTGGGTATTCTAGCCAGGTTTTTGTTGTTTGTTTCCATATTTTCTAAAAAAAAAGTTTTAATTGAATAAAATGAGCTGAATTAATGAGGCCTTTAGTTTACCTGGCGGCAGTAAATCTTCCAAAGTCATTAATCTGCATTTACAGAAGACCAAACAGGATTGTATCTTATGTAACCATGTTGTATTTGATGGAATGGAGAGATTTGGTGGGAGGTATGGCTGTGGAGGCTGTTTGGAACACTTATCTGAATCTCTGTACTATATTTTCCTTGAAGTGCTGGGTCTAAACCTGGGCTTATTTAAAATTTATGTATAGTTGAACTCATATCCAGAATAATTTTACCAATTTATAACAGTGTATGAGAACACTTCTTTCTTCATATCCAAGAGACTGGTATTTTAACAAGTACAGTAGAACTTGACACACCTAATTTACAACAATTCTATCTTTTAGTATCCCCTAAAGTAGGAAATCATTGCTCTTTTTTAGGGGGGTGGGCAGCTGGCTGGTACCCTTGACCTTGGTGTTATTACACTGCTCAAGCCAGCTGAGCTAACCAGCCATCCTGGGAAATCTTTGCTCTTTTAGGGCTTATTTTACTTTTGGAAACAGGTGAGCCATTTAGAATTTAGAAAGTAAAGCAGGCCATCACGTTAAAAAAAAAAAAAAAAAAGAAAAGAAAAAAATAGTTGGACATAGATGATAGAGATCTCATGAAAAAAAAGAACCCTAAAAAACCTATTTCTTTGTTTAAAAACTGTTTCCCTTCTTCCCTTTCTCTAACCCCTTTCTTTCCTTCCTTCTTTCCTTCCTTCCTTCATTCCTTCCTTGCTTCCATCATATCTTAGGCACTCATAATAAAAAAAAAATGATTCTTGTTCTTAATTACTTCAAGAACAGTTCCAAAAGTGAGCGAACATA